GAATTTTAAGAATTTGATTGGGGAGGGCAGATTAAGACTTATCTACTTCCTTACTTATAGTATAAGATGAAATTTCACAATATCAGTTTGTCTTATATGGTTGGACGTTTTTTATATTTTGTTGATCAGTTCCTGCCTTTTTAAAAATTTATCTTTTATTTGCAATAATACACATATATAGCTTACAAATTCCTGCCTGCTTATTTACGTTGTCATTTTCTACTTCTCAGAGGCAACTACTTTGAATTCAGTTAGCTCATCTGATGCTTACTTCCATATAGCTAATTAACATGTTTGTATTGATATTTCTTAATTTTTAAAAGAATTTTAGGCATTAAACATTGAATTCCTATTAAGGAAGATAAGGGGTTAGCTCTCTTTTATTCTCCCTCTCTTAAATACTTCCCTTCACTCTCCAAGATAGTTATATCTCAATTTGTTTTCACTGCAAATATTTTTCTCAGCTGAGCTGTGCAGTGTACTGTGATTTTATTTTCTTTTTTGTGCAGCATATTAAAAAATAGGGGTTTTTTTGGCTTCATATTCTATTTTATTTTAATTCTTCATTCCCAAATTCTCAAATAAGATCAAACAGAACGGCTTGTCTCTCAGTTCTTTTATACGTGTGACGTTTTTCCTGGAGTCTTCTGCTTGCCTGCTCCGTTCTGGACTGTGTACTCTTGGGGCCTTATGCATAGTTGTTGACCTGGAATTTTCCTTTGTATCATGTTGGGAATTCTTGATTGATCTGTTTACTGGATGGCATCTCTCCTGGTTTCATCTCTCTTTTTGGGAGGCACATTTCCCAGTTGCTTCTTGAGAAAGAGTGTGTATGATGTAATTTTTTTGAGATCTGGCATGTGTGAAAATACCATTTAGTTGCTCCTCACATAATGATTAATATAGAATTTAAAGTTGGAAATTATTTCCTCTGAGAGTTTTGGAGGCCTTGTTCCATTTTCTTCTGCTTCCAGTTTTGTTTATTGAATTGTTGGATGCTTTTCTGATTCTGGTTACTTTATATGTGACTTTTTTTTGGAGCGGGGGGAGCTTTTAGAGCCTTTTTAAAAATCCTATAAATGTTCTGAGATTTCGTCATAATGTGTCTTGGTGTGTAACTTTTTTCATTCATTGTGAAGATTTTTGCAGGGGGTGATGTAGGATAATTTTCTTCCCACTGTTTTCTGTATTCTCTCTTTTCTGGAACTCTTATTTGTCAGGTGCTGGAATTTTTGTATTTTTCCTCCAGCTTACTTATCGTTAAAAAAAATTCCTGATTTCTGTCCTTGTATCTTTTTGTTTTACTCTTGGGGAACATTTGCCTCTATTATCTTCTAATCTTTATGGGTTTTTTATTTCTATGATCATCATATTAATTTCTAGGAGCTCTTTCTTGTTCTTACAGTATTTCTGTTTTACAGCATCCTATTCTTTCTTGCTTTATGGATGCAATATCCTTTACCTCCTTGGAGTTATTAATAATATATATATGAAGTTCTGTCCTGCTCCCAGCATTGACTCTGTTTCCTCCTGAAGTTCCCGTCTGTCGTGTTAGACTCTTCATCGCGTGTCTGGTGATCGTTTGCTGTCCATTTTTATTTATGTGGAGGCACTGGACACTGGTTTGAAGCTGTCTGTGCATGAGCAAGTTGACAAGCTCTGTCTCTTGGCAACTGGTGGCCTTACTGTAGGCTGACTTCCTCTCTTTAGAAGTCCCCTTTCTCCCTGGTTTTGGTAATTGTAGATTTCTTTTCTTAGACTGGATAGTTTCTCCAGAAAAGTCTTCCAATATCCTACTTGGCCAGAGCTCTAGGAGCCCAGCAAGGGAAGGGGCTGTGGGTCTCTCCATTCAGAGTGTGCACTTTCATTCCATCCTTTCTTTCCGTATGGTGCCTCCTCCTGGTCACTATGCCTAGCGTCCCGGAGTCCAGCCATTCTAAGGTTTAACCTTTGCGAAGAGCAAACCTGAAGTGGAAAGAGAGACTGTTGACGAGCTTTGTGGATGAGGAAGGATCTGGAGGTTTACTTGCAACATCTTGCAAGCAGTCCTCCAGTTTTCAATGCCACCTCCACACTGCCCTCTCCATCCAGCTCCTGCTTTAGATGTATCTGTGGCTGAACTTGCACTTTCCTCAGGTGCTGTGCCCCATATTGGCTTCCTTCTTCCTGATAGTTCTGTCCGTTGGCATTTTAAGTTTTGTCTGTCCCTGCTTTGAAAATTCACTCATCATTGGCCCATCTACTTTCCATTTTCCAAAATTTTTTCCATGAAGTTTTTCTTCTTGCACTCGCTTTCTTCTTGTGAGTTTCTTTCTGCCTCTTGCATACTGTTACTTAGTGGAGTTTTGGAGGGAATGGAGTTAAGCACAAGATTTTAATCTACCACACACAACTGAAAATCTCAATTAACTTTTGAGATTTGGTTTTTCAGTTTAGATACATGGTTGTCTGGTCCATTAAAGAAGAATTAATTTGGTATTCTAGGATGGATTCCATTTACTGTACTTCTCAGTTTCATTCAGAAATTGTTACTCTCACTGTCAAGATGAACTAGGTGTTACCCTTTCTTGATTTGAGTACCTAATAGGAAAAAGGGTCCATTATCTCTAAGGTATAAATTCCAAGTCTGACATCAAACCCAGTCACAAGAATAACATACGATTTCCAACATTACAAAGAAATGACTTCCATCCCTGGGGTTTTCCACGGCTGTGATTCCAGTTGGGTCAGTATTTCTTAGATTTCCTAGTAGTTTGACTTGAGTTGTGTCCAAGCTGGAAAAACATTCTTTTCTAAGAACCGTTCTATCCAGTGGTCCCAGTTGTATTCTGCGGGATACTGAGTTTCCATGAGGCATCTCTATAGATTCTGTAGAAGAATGTCGGGCCATGACATTCTTCTCCATTCCTAGGATAAAATCACTCGGAGTATCTCTTGCAAAATGTAGAAGGTTTTCTAATGTGCCAAAAACTTACATTATTGAACATGTAAATACCACAGCTGAATCAGGACCAAAAATGATCTCTCTTTCAACTTTTCCTTAAATTTTATTAGTACTCCAATTTTAACAGTAACAACTGGTTTTCTAAATAATGTGTAATATATTCCTAAGGTATATCAAAGATTACTGTACATTTGCGATGGGCCTTATTCAACCATTATAAAGCAAAGGGGAAGTCACTTCAGATTTTCGAAGTTTTGTGTCCTGCAGGGTTTGAACGAATGTGGGGGAATCTGATCAGATTCCCAATCTAGATTTTACACAATCTTTTTTTAAAAAAACGATGTTTCCCTTCACATGGTAGAATTAAGATTTTTCTGCTTTCAGAGGCCTCATGTTTTTTGTTGATAAATCAAAATTGAGAGTATGGAGAGGTTCTGAGAGGAAGCGTTTCTATTTGAGGGTTCCTGTTTTCATCGTGATAGGTGAAGAGCGCTGGGATCTGTTTTGTGCTAAAGCTTATTAGAAGTGTCGCTGCCTCTGAGCAACAAGCAGGAAGTACTTCTGTCCTTAAAACCAAAAATAGATGCTCTTTCTCATTATCGTAACTCAAAAGGTAATCTTTTTTAATGAGATGGGCGCATCCCTTGTGGTTTTCACAGATTTAATGATCAGCTTATTTAATGCAGAGCTAGGAGAAAAATAGCTCTGGTAATAAAGATAATGCAAATTTTACTGAAAGCTAAAATAACAGTAACTTTTTTCTTTTTCTTTCTGCAAATCTTTTCACCTCTTTTGTTATTTTTGGTGCTCCTTAAAGGGATTCACCTGTGTTATTTTAACGTGTTGGTACATTTCCACATTTCTCACTGTATTTTCACTTCAACAGATCATCACAAGGGGAGAAAAAATTATTTGTAAGATTTAGATGTGTCAGGATTTAGGTATACCATGTATAGTCTAATTTGCTTTAGACAACTCTGCAAAGTGTTGTGTGTTAATGTGTTGGCAGTTGGAAGAAGAAAAATTGCTTCTTTGCTGATTTTGGAAAGTTCTACCTGTGTTTTGGAAAGTGGAGCAACGGAAAATAAAGAGGAGAAAGTAGAAGTAATTTAAGGGGAATAAGGTCAAGTACATGAAAGTGCCTTGTAAACTGTTAAGTAACAAAGATGTTTACTATTTTTACAAGAGTTTCACTTAAAGTGAGAAAAAGAACCCACAAAGATTCAGTAAAGAAAAATAGGAAAAAGAGAAAAGGAAGAACTTGGATAGGAAAAAGTTATGGAAGGAACAAAGTAGAAATATCATAAAGGGGGCGTTTTACCTGCTAGTTTCTTTATCTGAAAATGCAGTAGTACCGCTTGTGTTTCCTATTTAAGCAGTTAAATTAAAAACATTTGATTTATTAACCAAAGGGAAAGTTCTGTTGAAAATAATTTGGGAAAAGAATCTTATATGAGGTGATGAGGGTTGGATGGAAACTGTTAGGGCGGACGACTTTCTCAGCTCTGAATAAAGATCTCTGTGTCATAGGAGGTTATGTACCATGCTTCCAGTTAATTCAGGTTTAATTGACATTTGTTGATGTCGTCTGAGCCTTTCATTTTGTTCTCATTCATACCTTTGCAAGGTGAGTATCCTTAACTCATTTTACGGATCAGGCAAAGAAGGCTAATTGACTTGCCCACAGCCACTTACTTAGCCAGTGGCAGAGCCCTGCCTTCTCCACGTTTTTGCGTTTATTCCCACATTTCCACAGATACTTCACATCAGAGCAATTGATTCTGTGTTTCTGGATATTTAGCCTGTTGGATTTCTCTAAAAGAAGTCCTTGTGAAGTAACAGTGGTCCTTTACAGCTGACACCCCCAGGGCATGATTTAGGCTTGGTTGTATTTGAACTGAATGACTTCAAATGAATCCTACTTAAGGAATACTATGTGACTTCTCTAAGAACCAAGGAATAAACAAAAAAGACTTCTCACTTGCTTAAGTATGGATTCAGAGTCCGTGTACTGGGCCCTTCAGACCTTATCGGGAGCTTGGTATTTTAAGTTCAGTTCTCTTGCACTTTTTAATTTTATTTGGTTTCCAAAATCATAGCTGACTTGAAGAAGGGAAAGGTTGGTGCTCTGACAGCGAGACTCAACTCTTGAGGGTAAGGGAGAGGAGATAACCAAACTATGAAAGACAGACAAAATATTTCCCAAAGCGTAGCAATCAGTGGCCTTTTTGTGGAGGAGCAAAGAGCGCTCTGTGCCTTGGAAGGTTGTCTTGCCGCTGGCTTTTATAGGTGGGTTTAGTCCGGTTACCAGCAGCACACACATAAAGCCAATCTTGTACTCTCCCTCTATTCCATCGATTTATCTTCTACTCAGATCTTGATTCTTCTTGGCTCTATACTTGGATCTGTAACTCCGGATTTCACCTTTGGCTCTCCAAAGTCCATGTGTATCTGTGCTTCCCTTGGTGTTTGAACTTCAGCAATCTTTTCCTTTTGATTCTCAGTGTTCTGTTTCTTTGGTAGGAACTCCGCACCTAGCTCTTGTCATGGTGGTATAAACTCAGCTTCAGCCTAGCATCTACTGGGCCAGCTCCTTTTTCTCAGAGTAAGTGTTTTCATGTTCCAACAGAGCAAGGTAATTGATAGTCATATTGATGATCCTGTGTCATGAAACAAAGATTAATCATATTCTGGATTGGAAGGCTACTTTTTAGAAAAAAAAATTAATCCAGTATGGTTGAAATTAAACCCATTTTACTACTTAGATGGGTAGTCCTTCAACTATTAGGAAAATCTTGATCATTCTCAATATCTTACTCCTTAAGTTTTCTAAAAAGCAAAAATTATACAGTATTTAACTGCAGAGTGATGCAGAGAATTATAATTTAATGAGTTATAGAATATATTGTTTTTGAAGAGCATAACCCACTTTTTTAGTAGCTTTCACCAGCTTTCATATCCAAAGAAATGTTGCATTAAACAAAGCCTTTTTTTCTTTTTAACGTTTTGTTTACACATTTGTATTTTAGGTCAATAGCAGCAAATACTTAAGTAGAGATATTGTGATATCATAAAATAGTTGGAAAGGGATATAGTAGAACAAGTAGTTGTTGACATGAAATGTTTGTTTTGGAGAGAATTCTTGGCATTTTGGCCCTACATCAGCATGATAAGAATTTGTAGGAGAGGAGGGAAGCGTTAATGTATTTGTTGAGGCTTAATGTCCTTGTAGAGCATTTATGTTAGTGAATATATTATGGTAGTACCATAAATATAGTAATTAAAAAGTTGCACACTAAATGCTTTGTGGACTGGCATAAATATTCCTTTCCTCCCCTTGATGGCTTGCATTCAAGTGAATAGTGTATTGTTCATCTTGGTCTCTGAGCATTCTTAATCGAGAATGGAAAGAAGGATGGCATTCTCAAAGATTTGTTTCCTTCTTGAGATATTGCTAATCAGATGGGCAGAAATAGATTTGATGTATTCAGGACTGAGTTATTTTTTAACAGTTCAGAAAAATGTCACATAGTACATACTGCTACTACTACTACAAACAACCGCCACCACCCACTATTCCTCGCTTTTGGAAACTTTATCATTAAAGTCGTTTCCAGACAATACCAGTGTGCTGCTGTGTAACGTGTAAAATGTGTTCAATATGATCAGTGATACCTCAGAACTTATGTGTTATAAAAGAAGTGAAATGATGAGTAATATAAATGTATATTAGGACAAAAACATAAACCTATAACTGAGTGAATTTTCAGACTTTCAAGGAAGTGAGACTTGATTATCTCATTACTATCTACTGCACCAATGGGGTGAACCTGAGCAGGTTGCTGTGTGAATGAGCATCTGGGAGGAGAGGCGCCATGCTGTTAGAGTAATGATGTCCTGTCCTTCACACAGAAGGATAACAAAGAAGGCAGACAGCTGTAAAGTGGGCAATTTCTATTTCTTTGTATGCTCAAAATGTTCGCACCTACCTATTTTCCCATTTAAGAGACATCCTGATTTTCATACTTTCATTAGTTCTGAATCCTCTTACTTAACATGCAATATTTATTTATGAGTTCATAAAGATTTTCTTCTGGGAAGAGGAAAGTAAATGAAGTTGAATGTGCATTGCAGCTTGGCTTTGAGTCAATTAGGGTGGGAAAGGAAGGAATAGAAAGACTATTTCTGTTCTCACTGTTTAATTGGCCTCCTTACCTCTTAGTTGTGAGAACTCTTCACGTATGTTTCTGTTTATTGATTTATTCCATATTTATTGACTGCTTGCTGTATGTCCTATACCTGGGGATACAAAGATGAATGGCCCATTTAGTAGGTGTCAGATGACTTTGGAACCATCTCAATCCTGGCTGACTTCAATGATGATAACATGTTTATTTAGAATTCTAAAATTCTGTCATCTTCCAAAGATGGCCTCGAGATGTTCACATTAACAGAATAGGTAAACTGTGGAGCAGCCTCAGAGTTTTCGAAATCACATAGGCTGCCTGGAGAACATAAAATCTACTTTTTCAAGGTATTTTCCATTGCATTAAATTTTTTCTAATAAACTTTGCTACTTTTGGCATTATTGGAGTGCTTTTCCAAGAACGAGGTCACTCCACCCACTTCCAAATTTGCCAAAACCTGAGGTGGAAGAGTGGGCAGGAGGTTGAAGTGAGGTGACATCGCTGCTGTCTTAAAAGGCATTACACTAAGAAATCTCAGGAGCAGGTGCCCCTGCCAACTCCGCTCTCCCCTTCTTCTTGCCTTTACTTTCAAATGTGTGACTCTATTTTCATTAAGTTAGTCGTGCTAGGAGGGATCTTTGAATTGAAGCATCTTAAGAAGGCTTGTAAGATGGTGCGTAGTGGGTTCACTTGATGAAACTGTATGTAAGCCTTTGGAAAGGTTGGCATCCAAAACCTAAGATCATTTGAAGAAGAACGTTCTGAATCTTTTGCTTATATAGTATTTTTTGATATTATTAAGTTCTACTATAGGTGTGCTTCCCTCACAGATGCCCCTTTCCACCTTGATACGTACTGGCATATATGTTTATTTACCTTAAAACAGGGTTGGGCTACGTCAGTTTTGGAGAGCTGCATGCCATAAGCCAAGATTTTAAGATCTATATCCTCAAACCATTTACACGTTACCTCGTTCTCAGCAAAGAGCCTTGCCAACTGTTTTATCTACAATATTGATGTCATTTTGCCTCCAAGATCCCAATGCTATTAGGTGCAGACTTACTATAACCAGATTTGTCTTTATTCCTATAATTCTAATATTATTCTAAAACCAGAGGGTTGTAGATTCCCCTTCCTTTTCAAGGTCAGCCCCTTCATCTGTACTCCTGACCCTTTTCCCCCACTCCTTTGGAATCTTATCCCCTCCCTACCTCTTCCTTCTCGTACTCTCAAGCTTTCTCTGCGGATTCCTTCACTTTATTGCTGATTCCTTCAACTGTCCATTCTCCTTCCTCTTCTCTTCCACTTCCTCTGTTATCTCTGCCTCCCCCACTTCACTGAAACCACCCTCCATCGGGGTGGCCAGTGACTGCTTGAGTGTCAAATCTAAAGGTATATTTTTCATTTCTTATCCTTATTCATCTCATTGTATCCCATGGTACCTCTCTGCCTTTCTTCCTTGGTCTTTTTCAAAAGATCTTTTTCCTCTGCCGATTCTATCGTTGTTCATGTTCTCCGGGGTTCTGCTTTTAGTACTAATCCTCTAGTCTTCACTCTCTGCCCGTGTTCCTTCAGTGATGTCACCCACTAACCTAGTTTCTGCAGCTCGCTATGTCATAATCACTTGTAGGTCTTTATGCTTTGCTCAGGTTTCTTCCCCAAGCTTCACACTCAAGTCTATCTGGGTATCCCTACCCAAATCTTCTGTACCTCACTTTCCAGTGCCTCAAAGTAAACCCCTTGTCTTCCTTTTAAACTTATTCATTCTCCTGTATTCTCCACATCAGTTGTCACTCCCGTCCACCCACATGTTCTTAATCACCAAGTTGTTCTCTTAGTGTCTGGATGTTTCCCAAGTACTAATTCTTCTCTCCTTTCCCCTTCCCCACCTACTTCCACTGCCCTAATCCCCACCCTCCCTCTCCTACCTAACACAGACTGGCCTAACTGGTCTCCCTGCCTCCACTCTGCCCTGTTTGAATCTATCCAGAGAGAGTAATGCATCTCAAACCCAGCTCTGACCCAGGACAAGTCAGAGTACCTGAATATGTGCACACGGTTACGATCCGGCTCCAGGCTTCTTTCCTGGCCTCACCCTAGATGAATTACAACATACAGTTTTTTACCTCTGCCTTTTCCATTGTCTTTTCCCCCATTCCCAACTTGGCTAACTCCTATCCAGCCTGAGGACATGCCAGGCATCCCTTTTACTTGGCTGCCTTCCCTGACCTCTCCATTTCTGGGCTGGGTGCCCCTGCTGGACACAAATCTCAGTATTTGCACTCATTTCACTGCCCTTGGGGTCTGTTGTGTGTGTGTCTCTGGCCCCACTAGACTTCACTCTCATTAAAGGCGGAAACAGTGTCTTATTCATCTTTGCAGTTCTAGTGCCTAGCACAGTGCTTAGCATATAGGAGGTGTTCAATGTGTGTTTTTTAAATGAAGAATTTAATAACGACAAATCAGTTTGATGTCTACAAAACTGGGCAAAAGTGACCTGTGCACAGTAGTTCCCTTTAGGAAGAGATGTGAAGGGGGGCTTCTGAGGTGCAGATAATGTTCTGGGTTTTGATCTGATGTGTTCAGTTTAGGAAAATTTATTGAACTGTCTACTTGTGGTATGTGTACTTTTCTATATTTATGTTGTACCTCAGTGAAAAGTTTTTTTAAAAAAATTGATTTGTCATCTTATCTACCCACAGAAAATTTCTTTTTTTTTTTCCCAAGCTTTTAGAGTTTTTACAGGATATTAGTTCAGATGTCACAACAAAGATCCAGGCTGACGCTATTCCTTGATGTTAAGGAAGAGGGAGATGAAAAAGCATCCGCGAAGAATGGGTGGGATTGTCCAGACTTCTAAAGAGGGCCAGTGAGGCCAGCCCTGATGGATAGACTTGCAGTGACCTGTGCTCTTGTCACACTTATTACAGGGGCCGCATGCTAATCGTCAGCGAGCTCTGTGCCTGCTCGTAGTGTCAGGGAGATCTCATCTTGGATGGGACTATGAATAATTCATAAATGTAGTTATCTGGAAATTTGTGGTCATCATTAGCATTTTAATGAAAAAAATGCAGTCATTATCCTAAATCTCTGTTTTGTTTCTACTTTTTCTTTGGTCTCCCCCAACCCACGCAGCTAACCATCTCAGTCTTTCCTGAGTTCTTGGAGACTGCGAGGCCCCTGCTAATGTGCTGGCTGGTCACTATGGGCAGACGGTACCCAGAGGTTCAGTGTCATCCAGGCAGCTCATGTACGTATGGAATTGGTCTCTCCCATTTTTTTCTTTGATTTTCATTGTAGAATATTGCAGGGTACCCAACTGGTGAGAGTTTATAAGATTTAAATGAGAGTGTTTAGAAATGCAGGAGAATGGATCACCCTAGGGCAAGTTTTTAATATTGAATGATGAGAAATGTTATCTAAATTAGGATTTTTATAATCCATTGGCCCTATAAGACCGGAAGTATGTTCAGCCATCTCCCTTTTCTATTTTATGCATCCATTCATATGTAGGTTTTTTAAGCTTTCCTTTTTCATCAGAATATATAACATTTGAAGCAATAGCAATGCCATAAATTAAAAACGTTTCTCACTGATTGTCTTAATTCTTTGAATAAAAAAATTCATGGACCCAGAAGGAAAGGTCCTTTGGGTATGTCATTACTGAAAATGTGTTAGGGAGAGAGTCCCTGATTCTTTTTCCAATCATGGTCTTTTGGGAATGGCTATAATTGCAGCCTTTTCCCATGTCTCTACCCCTGATCAATTTAGGAGAAAAATGATCGTTGCCCGTTTAATGATATCTCTCATTTCTGTAAAGGAGAGTTTGTCTCAAACTTATTTTTTGCTCCCTTTAGTCTTTCAGCCTCAGGCCAGCTGTTTAGATATTTATTTGTTTCATTACTTCCCTTTGGACCTCTGGAATTTTGGCTTCAAATCAGGGGTGTGTTTGGGGTAATTCCCCAGAGTGCCTTTGCTCCCATATACTTTCCATAGTGATGTTTATTCATATTCACCTTTAAGGCCCATTTCTTTCTACGTTCCAGTTTGTTCTTCATAGAAAAGTTAAAACCACTCTCAAGCCCTCATCTAGACAATTGCTTCTAAAATAAGCCAGATCCTTGGAAACAGCAGCAGAAAGGAGAGTTGACAACAGTGGGGATTCAGACCAACTGCCAGCGTTAAAGCCGACAGGGGACGGATCAACAGCTTTTACACATACACTTTAGTATCCTCCAAGGCCGTTGCTACATTATTCTAAAATCAGCAATTTTCGTAGTGAACATCTTCAGAAGAATTTTCCCCTTGTATTATCGTAAAACAGAGGTTGGCAAACTATGGTCTCTGGGCCAAATCCAGCCCATGCCTCTTTTGTAGGAGCTAACAATGGTTTTTCATATTTTTAAATGGTTATAGAAATACCCACATAATCTCTATTTTACCTCTTGGCCCTCAGAGCCTTGAGAATCTACCATGTGGCCTGTTAAGAAAAAAATTGCTTATCTCTGCTGTAGGAGAAAGTTGGAGGGCGTGTACTATGATTGAACCGTATGAAATGGTTAATATTTAACCATTTTTGACTTGCAAAAATGCTAATTTTGTATGGTTGAATCTAATATATTTTGAGGAAATTCTTATGTCAAAATGGTTAAAATTTTAGTTTGGGTTGTTGGAGTGGAAGAAGTAGGTTTACTTGGAAAATTCACAAATGTGGACCTGCTCATTTTTCACCATCTTGGTGAATGATTCATCATACCTGTCCTCTCCAGAGCTTCCTACAGGGCTCTGAGCTGCTAAGTCCTGTGGTGTCAGATAGTCGAAAGGAAGCGCGTCTTTTTCACTTGGCTTGTTTCTTACCAGGGCTCTTGAGGAGAAAACTGTCTTCTTGTCTTCACTTTCCTGGGTGCCGGGAACGTGCTAGCCATCCCCAGAGGCCTCTGCTGAGCCTGTCACTTGTGCTTTTTTTCTGGTAGGAAGGAGGGTGAGTCGCTGTCTTTTCCAGTGGTCACACTTGATGGTCCCTTGACCTGCAGCATGTCTGCATAACACCTTCTTTGACCCGTCCTTTCCAGGAACTAGAATGTGGTTCTCACCCTTTTGTGCTCTCCATCTCTTTTTTTCAGTATCGTTGATCCCTTGGTCCAACTCATTAAAACTATCATTTATTTTACGTGGTTTGTTTTCCATTGTCCCCGCTCCCCCTTGTCCCTCCCTTCTCCTGATTATTAAATAGATTTGTTTGTTGAAACCTCCAGCTCACATTCTTTAGTGGTAGGAAGTATTAACCTCAGCTGCTCTGTCTCCTGTCACCTGAGGCAAGAAATCTAAGATGACTTGGAGCCTCCGGCCTGACCCAGGTCTGAACGGGGCCGTGCTGTTCCCTGGAGAAGGGGAACTATTTCAGGGGAAAAGAATTCTCTGGAGTTTATAATTTGTCATTAAGTGTGGTCAGAACGATTAGTGAAGGGTTGGTAATACATACTGCGCTGTTCTGAATTGTTTTTGAGGTTCACATGGCAAATTGGCATTTTAGATTTCCTTTCTTTCTGTTTTGGGATTACTGTTTTTGCCTTTCAAGGCTATCTGCTTTTAGGACGGGATGCTATTTGGTGGTATGTGGAATGGCATCCATTGAGCATCAAAATAAGAAGTTAATAGCTAGAGCTGACCTCTCTTGACTTTTCCTACAAATATTTGTGCTTGTGTTAGGACTGGAGTTTTAAAATTATCCTAGGAGTTGCTCGTAAGATTGCATCCTTATTTATTCGTGTTTTCACCCCTCCGTTCCTTTGCATGACTGTAGCCGCTGCTCTACCTCCAGCCATCAGGATCCGGACTGATGCAGTAGTCTCCTGACCTCTGGCCTGCAGTCTGTCTCCCTGCAGATCTGGCTTGTGCATAGCGGCCAAGTTAATCTAACAGAGGAAGCATAGCTCCAGTCACGTCACTTCCCTGTGGAGAATGCTTAGTGCCTCCCCACCAGTCTAGAAGGTCACCCTGACCTTTGAGTCGTCTGTATTTTCTTTCATTCCTCCTTATTTTAATACCCATTACTCATGGTAAATAATTGTTACTGTCGTCGTTAGCAGTATTATTACTCCTCAGTAGATACCTCATGCTAGTCTAAGTGGGCTGCTCCTGCGAAGATCCACCCCTTGCCTTTGGTCCCTGTGCCTTGTTCCTGCCCTTCCCTCTCTGGAATGTGGATCCACCTTTTGACAATCTGCTAAGACCCTGCCCTCTGCCCCAGGAAGCTTCCCTTCCCTGCTGTCCCAGCTGGAAGCACGTGCTCCTGTAGCTCTGACATCTCCCTCCTGAAGCTTGTGTCCCAAATCACTCTCTATATTTTGGCATGTGTGTATACTTGGTCTGAACTTCCACACTAAACTCTCTTTCGTTTCCCTCCTCTCCTCTGTCTGAGGACAGTGCTTTATGTATAGTAGATGCTCAAATATTTGCAGGATCATCTTGGCTTAGGGATGGGACTGGATGATAACTGTCCTCAGGAAGCCCCTGTAAAGCGTTTGCAGAAGCACTTGGCGGAGCCTGTGCAGACCAAGGCCACGGGGGCGTAATCAGGGCCTCCAGGGCAGCCGGTGTGCGGCTCCCCCGCCCCTGGTTCCCCTCCCGCCTTTCCTTCCTTCTCACTCCGGGGTGGGCGCTGTTTCCTTCCTTTCTGCACTTGAGAAATTGCCATTTAAAAAGTTTAAACATATGATTATTTCTTTTGGCCTTCCCTCCCTGACTTCCCTGCTTTCTCTGATGGGAGGCCTTGGTTTTGTTTGTGGTTCTACTCCGTGCCACAGACTGTGTCTTGAATTTACCAGAGGTTTTTCCCTTCAAACTGGATAAAGTTTGAAAGGTTCAACTTTATTATCCCCATTTCACAGAGGAGAAAACAGAGGCTTGAAACAACAGAGTAACTTGTCGGAGCAGAGTTGCGGTTTGAGCCCTGGTTTGTCTGCCCCCCACGCATGTGTTCTTTTCTCCCACCAGGCTGTCCAGTGATCTGGTGAGCACTCACTAGGTGATGTTCACTCGCCTCTTCTCCCCACCAGGGTTCTTGGTAATATGGGTCTTAAAGGCCTAAAAGATTAGCATCAAAGGATGCTACCATCTGTCTCCATCTCTTCTCTTATCCAACTAAACCCGGTCACCACCAGTAACGTGAAGGCCCCAGGAGAACACTTCATGTAGAAAGAGAAATAATAATAAATGCAGTAATAGTAATCATACTTTAAAAGTCATACAAGTAATACATGTTTAATATAGAAAATTTTAAAAATAAAGAGAAAATAAGTTCTCACAATCCTACACACCAAGAGATAATCGCTTTTAACATTTTGTTGAATACTTTTCTATACTTTAAATATTCTCTTAATATGTTTATTTATTTTGTTTATTCACAAAAATAGGGTGATGTTTTTACATGGTGTTTGCTCTACATAGTGTCATAAATATCTTTCTAGACCAATGCATTTACTTTCAGAGTAACTCAAAGCAGCTGTGGCTTGTGGCAGACTTATTTATGTGATGTTGCAGAGGAGGCAGTAAAAGCAACTGAATGCAGAGAGGCGGATTCACCTTGATAAAAGGAGGAACTTTTATCATGGTTAAAAAAAGTGCTAGTCAGGGGCTGGCCAGGTGGCATAGCGGTTAAGTTTGTATGCTCCACTTCAGTGGCCTGGGGTTTGCAGGTTTGGATCCAGGGCGTGCACCTACACACCACTCATCAAGCCATGCTGTGGCAGCATCCCACATACAAAATGGAGGAAGATTGGCACAGATGTTAGCTCAGGGCCAGTCTTCCTCACCAAAAAAAAAAAAAGAAAAGAAAAGAAAAGAAAGAGAAATAAGCTAGTCAGGATTCATTAAATTGATTTTCACCATCTGTTAATGGGTCTCGACTCTCAGTTTGGAAAGCAGTGGCCCAGAGATCACACAATACTGGTGGACATGCTTAGGCAGAATCAGAGGTTTCTGATTAGGCGGGAGTTTGAATTCAGCCACGGTTTGAGGAAACATTTGGAATTTTAGTTAAAACCAGGAGCATGAGTGCTCAAGATCATTAACAGCCAAGTGGGTCTCACCGCCCAGAACAGCCTGGATGTGACGTGGTATCCCAAGAGAGGGGCTTTCTGCTCTGGTTTTAATTGGTTTTCCTGCTGTGGAAGGAAGTCCTGCAGGATTGTCCAGATGTGGGTGATCACAGCAGAGGAGCCCCTCGCAGTTTTATTAATAAGACTTCCT